CCGTATATGAGGCCGGTGCCCTACTCACTGAGCCACAGGCACCGTCCAGGGTAGTATAGACATTTTAACAACATTAATTTGGCCAGTCCATGAGCACCATATGTTTACATCCTCTGTGATTTCCTTCCTCAGTGTTTTGTAGTTCTCCCTGTAGATGTCTTTCACCTTTTTGGTTAAATATATTCCTAGGTATTTTATTTCCTTTGTTGCTACTGTGAAAGGTTATCAAGGTTGATTTATGAGGTTAAGGAAAGAAACCATCCCCAGAACGTAACAGTGCTGAGTAAAGCAGTATTAATGGAAAAGCTGCAACAAGTTATCCAAAAGATCTCCTTAAGAGGATTGATAGAGGTGGCAACACTAAACAACAGATTTTCAAAACATACTAAACACCCTTCTGTTGGAAAAAGAGGCCATATAAATAGACTTGCATAGCTAGAGAGAAGTCAGTGCCTGGCTTCAAAGAACAGGGTGACTCTCTTTGTTAGGGGTTAACGCAGCTAGTTCTTAGCTTGATTCTCAGTTTGACTGCTTAGCTTAGCTGCTATGCTTGGTGCATAGTAATCTACCTATTTGTATACACCAATTTTGTAACCTGAGACTTTGCTGAATTTATTTATCAATTCGAGGATTCTCTTGGTAGAACATTTGGGGTTTTCTAGATACAAGATTATATCATCAGCAATGAGCAGTATAGTTTGACTTCTCCCATTTGGATACCCTTTATTTCCTTCTCTTTCCTGTTTGTTGGAGCTAGGGCTTTCAGCACTATGTTGAATAGAAGTGGTGACAGTGGGCAACCCTGTCTGGTTCCAGTTTTAAGCGTGAATGCTCTTAATTTTCCCCCATTCAATATGATGTTGGCCATGGGTTTATCATATATGACTTTTATAATTTTGAGATATGTTCCATTAATGCCTATTCTGTTAAAAGAGTTGTTATCATGAAAGGGTGCTGAATTGTCAAATACTTTTTCTGTGTCTATTGAGAGGATCATATGGTCTTTGTTTTTGTTTCAATATATGTAGTGAATGACATTTATACATTTGCATATGTTGTACCATCCTTGCATCTCTGGGGTAAAGCCCCCTAGTCAAGGTGGATTATTTTTTTTCATGCGCAGCCGAATGCAGTTTGCTAAGATTTTATTGAGACTTTTTACATCTGTATTCATAAGGGATATTGGTCTGTAGTTTTCTTTTGTTGTTGTTTTGTTTTTTAGCTTTCATATCAAGGAGATAATGACTTCTTATAGTAGAACAACTTGGGGAGGATTCTTTCCTTGATGTTATGAAATAATTTCTGCAGTATAGATACCAGCTCTTTTTTGTATGGCTGGTAAAATTTGGCTGTGAAACCATCTGGTCTGAGACTTTGTTGTTGTTGTTGTTGGAAGATTTTGTTATTGCTGCTTCAGTTTCATTATTTGATATTAATCTGTTCTATTTTTTCCCGATTGAGCATAGGGAGAGTGCATGTTTCCAAGAATTTATCTATTTCCTCAACATTTTCAAGTTTATGGCATGGAGATTTTTTTATAGTACTCAGAGAAGATATTTTATATTTCCATGGTATTGGTTGTAACATTTCTTTTCTATTTCTGATTGAGCTTTTTAGGATCCTTTCTTTTTTTGTTTCTGGTTAATCTAGTAAGAGACCTGTCAATTTTTTTTATCTTTTCAAAGAACCAACTTTTTGTTTCATTAATCTTTTGTATAATTCTTTTAGATTTTGTATAATTCAATTAGATTTAGTTCTACTCTGACCTTAGTTATTTTTTCTATGTTTGGGATTGGTTTTCTCTTTCTTTTCTAATTCCTTGAGATGGTTTATTAGATTGTTAATTTGTGATCTTTTTGTCTTTTGGACATAGGGTATGAATGTTCCTCTTAAAACCGTTTTTGCAGCATCCCACAGACTTTGGTAACTTGTGTTCCCTTTGTCAATTAGTTTGAAGAGTCTTTTGACTTTCATTTTAATTTCTTCCTTGTCCCAATAATCATTAAGCAGTAGGTTATTTTATTTCTGTGACTTTGTGTAGAGTTGAGTGTTTTTGTTAGAATTGATTTCTAGTTTTATTCTACTGTGGTCGGAAAAGATATGTGGTATAGTTTTTGTTTTTTAAAGTTTGTTGAGGCAAGTTTTGTGGCCCAGGATGTGATCAGTTCTTAGAGAATGTTTCATGAACTGATGAAAAGAACATATATATTCAGTAATTTGGGGGCAGAATGTTCCATAAATGTCTGTGAGGCTCGTTTGACTAGAGTCTTATTTAAATCTGTTATTTCTTTGCTCATTTTCTGCTTGGAGGATCATCTGTCCCATTCTGTCAGTGGTGTGTTGAAGTCCTCAACTATTACAATTCTGCTGCTTATCATTTTGTTTAGATCAAATAGCACTTGCATTATGGATGTGGGTATACCTGTGTTAGGTGTATAGATAGTTAGAATTGTTGTGTCTTGTTGAATTGTTCCCTTCACCAGTATATAATAACCATCTTTGTCTTTACTTTTGTTGATTTGAAGTCTGTTGTTTCATATGAGAATGGCTACACCAGCTTTCTTTTGTTTTCCATTTGCATGGAACATTTATTGTTTTCCACCCCTTCCTCTTGGGTCTGAATAAGTCCCTGAGATTAGATGGGCATTCTGAAGCCATCAGATACTTG